TGGGGGCCAAACAAACTCCGTTTCAAAAGATACTGTGGGGAGCACTTTTAATGCTAATGAGCTGGTCAAAAATTCTCACTTGAATTTGTGGTCTGCACCCCTAAGAATTTTTGTCAAGAGTCGTCAGGGAATCTTTGGACAGGGAACCCGACTACGAGTTGAATTTCTGAAGTCGTCCCCAGAGCAATGATCACTTGCAATATTCAATGCAATAACGGAGAGTGGGGAATACACGGAAACCAACAATGCAAGTTGGTCAATTTTATTGTTGATTATAGACAATAGCAATATGTTAATAGGTCGAGCTCAGTCTCGGATTGAATCAGACTGGAACATACTCAAAGTTACTGAAATGGCGGGGCACGCTTTAAAATTGTGGAGATTGTTTAATGACTGATTCAGCTTCCTCCTCCAGTATTTTGGGTTGGTGTATGTGCGTTGGTGTAAGTTTGTTAGTGCAAGTGTGGTGTCGCGGTGTTGATTTGGTGTTAGTATAGTGTTGGTGTTGATGTTGGCGCTGTGGTGTTGATGCTGGTGCTATGGTGTCTTGGTGTCTGTGTTTTGGGACTGGTGTTGACTTTGATGTTCTTTTGTATCTGGAGTTGGCTTTATTTTTGTCATGTTACTTCGCTCGATGAAAGACAAACCTTCATTGGAATTGTCTTCTGGTTCATGAATTCAGGTTGGTCTTAAAACAACCAGACACTGTTTTTGGAGTATACCGTGTGCCGTGCTGTGTGTACTGGAATCAAATAAAAGACAAGATGTTCTCTACACGTTGTAAATGGCATCGGCAAAGCTGGCTACCCTAGAATGAAATTATGAATATTTGAAGTCGTGAAATTGCCAGAGTATAAAACAAGCGTTGATCAGAGGAGTGGGGAAAATGACGGATTGGGTTTTCAACTACTGATTAAGCAACGGACGGTGCTCCTTCAATGAAAAATGACCACACCCAAGTGCTAGTCCTTTCCAATGCAGAAATTGATGGCACAGCGTGTACATGATTAGTCACTCTGAAGTACTCAAATCCTTCGGGCGATCATATCAGCATCACTCTTCCATACATTCATCACTCGCGAGGCCCGACCGCGGGACAGTCCAGGAACAAATCATTCATTAAAATGAAATTTGTTCTGACACACGGTTGGGATGAGGGAAGATGCAGTAAAATTAAACAAAAATAAAAACGTGCTTCGGGAGTATTGACACACTGAACGTCATCTTTCTTCGCGGTCCTGAAGTCTTCGGTAATGAACTTCTGATTTCAGGCTGCACTTCGTCTGTCGGATGGTTTCCGTGAGAATATCGGAACCCTCTACTCAGCTGATCCCGTCTTTCATGAAAAAAAACCCCGGAAATTCGATGAAAATGTTTGTGGTCCAGCAGGGAGACCAGCTGTTTCACTCTTAGGGGATAGTTGGTTAGTGCCGGTATCGTGTTCAATGAGATGATTTACGGAGTTTGGTTGAGTTATGAGGTTTTGACGTACAGTTCAAGGGCATTAAACTTTGTGCACAGTTCTATGGGGGTGTCGCCCGGGGTATTGTGGGAAGTTGTTTTAGCTACAGCGGTGGCATATCTCTTTCAATATCTCTCAGCAAAGTCGTCGAAGTCCTGGTAGTGGTTTCAACATCTCGACTCAGCGCCAGGTCGTTTAGATACCGAGGCGCGACCCTACTTACGCAGTTCCTGGCTCTTTCACCATCGCAAAGTCTCGCCTCTCCCCCCCCCCGTTTCCAATCACGTTGGCGTCTCGCGCATGACTGCTGAATATCGTGGCCGGCTCATTCCAGCTAGACAGCCGTGATTAAGAGCTCGGGCCGACCAGGTGTTTTCCAACGCGCGGCCAGGCCCCGTGAGCCCCAATCACGAAGGTAGCCTTTTATCGCCTGTCTTCCGCTGCAGGTGCGGCGATACCTTTCGCCTCCATCCTGTTCATTCAGGTCCCGCTGATCGATTGACTCGGCATTCTCTTACCCCGCCTGAGCTACAACACGAACTGCGCGACCGAGCAGGAAGCTGGGTCCGGTCCCAGGGCCCAGACGCCGGCACCAGGAACAAATAATAATTGTTTGACTAAAAACATACTAACGTAGGTTTGAGCCCTGATTATACATGAGAGGGCAGATCGGCAGATGCACAGCGTTTTCAGTGTAAAACTTACCGAGCTTTTTTTGCCAATACAGTCGATATTTAGAGTATTTGTTTTACGATACCCGACTAATCCCACGAGACTGGGACCAAATTGCAAATATTTCCAACAGCTCCACAGTTCAATAATATAATCACGATTCAATCAAGTGATGATCAATTATTTATTTATATTTCCACCTCTTTGATCCATACTCTAAAGCCTACTGTAAAGTAGCCTATTTGCATTCGTCGTAAACAAGCGTGAAGTAATGCTTCGCAAAATCATGGCTGAAACCATCCATGAAGCTTGGTTCCCTTCAAGAAAATAACGAAAGAAATGAATTTGCTTGACGACCTTCCGAAGTGTCCCAAATGATAATGAACTGAATAGAATTTTACATGAAATTCAAGCAAAATCATATATGCGTCATTAAAACCTGTACATAACAAAATCGATATGTCCGTGTCGCGGTCGGTAAAGATAGATGGCGCTATTCACTTCGAGATTTAAGCCCATCATCGCTAAGGAGACAAAATTTATTTGACAGAACAGATAATTTTCCTTGCGTGAAAAAGAGTGATTGGCCGTGTTCGACTCGCTCGGCTTATCTCCCTTATACGACCCGGCAATAAAACGGAAGTCTACATGGCTGTAGCCGCTATAGCTAGCGGCTCTCATAGGTGCACGTGTTGTGTTCAGCCGCAGCCAAGTTATCCGGACATAACCTTTCCAAGCAAGACTCCCCTCTGGGCCGTCGCCGAGTATTTCCCACTGATTTGAGTGTGAACGGCGCGCAACACGCGCGGCTGATTTGATTTTTTAAAAGTCTTTATTTTGTACGCCCGTGGATTTTACATGGTTTTGCGTAAACCCCATTGGGGTTTGTGCGTGGGTGTTGTCGCCACATTGCGTTAGAAAGTGGGTCCCACCTTCTCTCTTTGCCAGTGGTGAGGGGGTACTTTGCGCGGAGCTCATAATAGAATATCGCGCTGAGAAGCCCAGCCAATATTTTGGCACCAGTCTCCCACAGTGATAAGATCGTGCGACGGCAATCTTCGTAAGAGCTAGATACTCGGGTGTTAGGTACGATGTAAGGGGGCGGGTGACCATATACCAGGCAAGATATGGGACGGAGGGGTACCCCCCTTACCTGTCAAATCCCTATACACACTCTAGACTATTTTTACCTAACACATCCCCCTAGAAGTCTGTAAAGAATTTCTGAGATTCAATGACCAACACAAAAGCGGGGGGAGGGGGGGTTCTCTCCGTCCCATATCTTGCTTCAAATGGGTGACCAAGTAGTTAAGGTGACTCCTAATCAAAAGGTCGAGGGTTGGAATCCAGCTGCTGGCTATAAGTTACGGTCTTGATGAAGCCATGCACTTAACCCCTGCTTGCCTCTCTCCACCGCAGAGTACAAATGGGTACCGGCATTAGCTGGGGAGCCTGCGATGGACGGGCATCCCATCCAGGGGAAATAGACATGTCCTCAGTCGTTTCGTGCCAAGGAAACTGGACATGAACACCGGTTGATGAGCCTGATGGCTCAGAAGAGACTTGCGCCTGAGGAAACCCACGCGATAGAACCCAACCCATTTGAGGACCGGGGGGGGGCTATACCTTAATTTGTCTGATCTGACTCCCCTTGCATTTTGAGACACGCCTTCTTTTAATACACACAAACCATTGCCTGTTTAAAAGGACAGTGAAATGAGCAGATTATTCTTCCAAATAATACCGCATCTCTGATCGAGGTCAAAATCGGATCTACTGGCAAAATTGCAGATGATTTCTATCATCAGCAATACATCTGCTTGAGGCGGCAGCTTGCCCGGAAAGATGCCTGTCCCCTACACAGCACTCTTCTTAAGTGTTGGAACATAAAATATAAAATAATATGAAGTACAGTTTTGGGAGCCATAATACACGAAGTTTGGCATTCTAAAGAGCTTGCAATCCCTTTTGCGCAAGTAGTGACGCACGGGACAGACGTCACTGTTCATTTGCTTTTCCTCTTGAAGTCTTATAAATATAAGATATCGCATGCGATATTGCATGCAATCTTGGAAATTAATGAAGCCGTTCCCTTGTGACTTCCTCAATTTTAATCAGGTTTTGCAATTAGTGACCGGTTTTCATTGTATTACGGTATTTTAGTAGGAAGATAACTATACTCCTGTGGAAAAAATGTGACTTCTGCGTAACGTAGATGATTAAAATGTTTGACTTAATTCAAAGATCTTGATTACTTGTAATTCAAATTATTTAACAGTGATCTTGGTGGAAACTTGGCTGTAGCGTATTCAAGCCTGTGGGCGGTGGGGATTTTTCTTCCGAAACGGTTGTGCAAAAAGTTGTAAAAGTATCCCCCAAAACAGGTGCTAGTATATCCCGTTCATAATGTGTTGGTGCTTTCAATTCTTAATCAAGGAGGCTACTGGGGGGGTTGCTAATTAACTGCCCCCCCGGATACGGTACCGAAGCTCGGTTCTATAAGTACATGTACTTCAGTCTGGCTGTGTCCTTACAGAAATACGTCAAAATGCGCATGGGATGCCAGAAAGTGTACTCTTTGCGTCTCCCAGTAATCAAAGAATAACAGCCACGGTCTATGACTGTCCACGCTTTGTGGAGCAATCTGTCAAAACCAAAGCCTCAGCGAAATGAAGCAAAGCTTGAGCAATTCAATTCCTTGCCGCTTTCCCCTTCTTCATTTCGTTTTATAGGCTGTCTTAATCCACCATCTTAGCATGATGCTGGAGATTATATTCTTAGTTTTGACTATACAGCTTGTGCAGTGTGGTACCCGTATGCTGCTCATTTCTTTGGAAACTGAGAAAGCTGGACGCATGTCTCTTACCTCGAAACATGATGTCATACGGTTGACAGAACACAATCTTCATGTTGTCATCTTGCATCAGTAATCCACATGGAAACTCCAGTAGTATATGTGCATAATGGATTTGGGTTCCAACGCACGCACTTTTAGCCGTCTCTCAAAAGAGCAAAGGAAGGTTTAAGAGGTTACTGGACGACGTCAATTCAGCATCAGCATTCAAGTGACAGCCACCCGAATTCGCCGCTTCACTTTCTCATTTCGTGATCGCTAATGATTGCCATTAATCGCCTTGGCGAAAGCACTGAGTACCCCGTGATGGAGAGGGTGGGTTCTTCAAGCGAATCTCCAGATATTCCCCGCGACCGATTGATTAATGTTTACCCGGGAGCCCCAACTCAGTCAAGTGGCTTTTTGCACGGCCAATCCGAAATGGCCCATGGGAATGCACTGTAGGAAATCTACGCACTTTGCACCGGGCCTGAGTACCCTATAGTCAATACCGGACAATGGAAGGCCTTACAGCCACCGAGGCTACCGTTCGCGCCGCCTCCTAGCAGAGCAGGTCAGCCCCTTAACACCTTTTTTTCTATGCGACAGCAAGCAACAGAGAGGTGACAAGATCTGTAAAGAGGAGAGGGGAAGAGAAGAAAACATGGCACCAATAGACCGACACTGCTCGGGATTTGCCCCCACTCCCCTGCCCTACAATGTCGATGTCCCCAGTCACAGCGCTAACGACATCGGGGGGATTAATTTGTCTGTGCAAACACGGTGCTGAAAAGCAACGCGATTGTGTAATTCAGGTAGGCCGGTGCGCGGTAATTAGCTTTGGGACGCTGGGCATTGTTCGCCCAGGAATAACGGGCCATTATGATTGCCCACCAGGCGCCTCGTTTATTACCAGTTCCCATTTAGTAAGGAACATTTTGCACTGCTGGGTGCAAAAAATCCAAGGACTACCTCTTTAGGGCGGAGGCATAAGAACAAATAATCTTGGGAACCTCCCGCACAGCTAATATCGGGTTTCTCAAAAGGTTTTCGGACGAAACAAAACTGATAAATGAACCTTTGTGCGAAAGCGGGCTCTAGATTCGGGCTCTATTGTGCATCTAACAAGCAATTTTATCTTTTCTTTCTTTTTTTTAGAAGCACCTACAATGCACTGTGACGATATATTCAATTCAGTCACCGACGGCTTGTGCATTCTGGTTCGGATGGTCATGCACCGTAAACCTGCTTGCTTTGAATCTGCAAGTCGAATGCTCTGGTGAGAAAGCCAGTTCACTCGCGAAAATGATTAAGTTTGGCATCCTATACTATTCACACGAGAACAGCAAAAGTTTCCAGGTCCATTTTGAAATTTCAAAGATGCAACTCAACAGCGAGAAAAATACGCAAAGACGTGAACTCTCCTCTGTTGTAATTTGAACTTCTCTCAGTAATTGCATCAGAGTCAACGTTTTATTCGTAAATATTCCATAAAACAAATCGTGAACGCGCTACGATTCATCATTATGCTACATTTCTGTAGCACATCGGTCAACAGAGGGCGACATCGTGGATCACCGAATAAGCCTTTTGCGAGTTAAATTTGAATAAAATCTGGTACACTGAATTCTTTAAAAAGACGGTGTCAGATATAAAAACTTTGAGTCCCACGAAATTCCCAAGTTTTCCGGTAAAAGTTCCTTTCTGGAGCCTCCCATGCAGCTTTACATACGGAGGCTAGGCTTCTTCTTATTATTAATATTATTGGTTTTTCAATTAGTTAAAGCAGCATTCGTTTGGGAGCGAAATGGAGCGAACATTCAAATTCCTGCTTTTATTCAACAAATAACAGTTCTATTTCAATGAGGGGTGCATTCAGTCGTATAAATTCAGCGTTCGATTTCTCATTGCACCGGTTTAGAATGTTGACATTTATTTTTGCGCGAAATCGAATGCACCTCTGCAATCCTGAACTCATTTATTTTGTACTCGAGCTATTTCGCAAAATGTGCAGGCGATTTTGCGCGAATATTACTGGTCAAGAATATATAGAAATTCGTTGGTATGCTAACGTAAGTTACATTCTTAGAAGTGTTTACTCCAATGGATAAATGTTTGAATATTCATGATTTAAACAAAACATTCGTGCTGTCTTTGGACGCATACCGACTATTGTAAGAAACCGATATATATATCTCGACGCCCTTTTGTGCTGCGTTTTTGCCACAATCACATCATACAGCTAAGTGAAGTTCACACATGGCCTTCTTGTAATGGCTGATCGAAGAGATACAGAAAAATCACAAAGACCTCAACTCTGTACAGTTTGATAACAAACACACTATAAAACTTATGAGTAACATTACAGTCATAATCAATGTGGTGTCGTGATTTGTATAACCCGGTTACATTCTAATCAGATAGAACGCACATTTTGCAGATTTGAATTGCTGTAAATGAAAATGAATACTCAGTACTGAAGGGTCACGGTAAGAGGCAGATTTTCGGCGAATAAGATTGCATATTTGTTTTTCCCCACTCCATGCCACCCGATCCTACTACCCACCGCTATTTATAAGTAGGGCTTGCACACCAAATACGCCATGCTATAAGCATGTTGGTATCATCGGATCGTGGCAGGACTACGTTCGACACGCTTGCAGGCAAGGCATGAAAAGCGCCCCCACTTGCAACGCAACAAAGAGCCACTTGCTGCGGTGCACAAGCTAAAACTGGTCTAGCGAATGTGGCGAATGTAGTCCATGCTACGATCCTATGATACCGACCCACTCATAGCATGGGGTATTTGGTGTGCAACCTACTTATAAGTAGCGGTGAGTAGTCGGATCGGGAGTCCATGCATCTAGTGCAGAGGACTTTTCGAGAAGGACAGTTCGGTTGAATGGGTATTGTTCCTTCCAAATTTCGGCCAGTATTGGAAGGATACTGAGATAACACCAATGTTCTCCCTGTGTTCTTCTTTAATTAAATACCTATCAGAGAGCTAGTTGGTGATGGTTTCGCCCAGCCGATCGATGTACCGAATGAGATAGCCAAAGTACTGTCCAGGTCGGGCTTCCAGTGCCGCCGGGCTCAAAAACAAGTCTGGCAATGTACACCATGTCCGCAGGGACACTATGGCGCTTACTGGATGGATCCTTATCAGGAAACGTGCGTCGCTTGCCCGGCAGGTAAGACCTAGAGGGGGAGGACAGCCGAAGTTTTGTGCGTTGATGTTGGTGTTTGTGTCTTATGGCATGTCTACAGCAGTTTGTAGGCCCTTTGATATTTCGAAGGCTCCTTTTTTCGACAATGTACCTACTGTGCCCATTGGATAATCCAGCCCTGAACGATGTCCTTAATTAAACCTTTTGTAGATGATGTTTCTCGTTTCGGAGTTCATAGCCTCAGGGCGGGAGGCGCTACAATTGCAACTAATGCGAGAGTGCCTGATCGCTTATTTGAGCGTCACGGCAGATGGAAATAAGAAACTGCCAAGGACGGTTACGTTCAAGACTCTGCTTCTAGCCTGTTATCAGTTTCCAAAGCCCTGGCATTGTATTAAGTGCGTATACCACCGGTGGTCGCATATTCCGGTAGTTCGTTCTGTATGCTCACTTTATAGTTGATGTGATATGATTGTAAATACAAACTTTGGTGAACTTTCATGCTGTTGCTTATATTAAGATATAGTGATATTAAAAAGGCATAGTGTGTCTGACACGGAGCAATACTGCGTCAGTTCAGATCTACGTTTCTCATCCTCACTAAAAAAAAAGTGTGGGTGAGTTTTTCGTAGCTGGCAGTATACTGGTTGCCTTCGGACAGAGTTGGGTTTACATATTAGTGTAGTTATAATTGAGCTGTTAAAAAGTAATTAGTACTTGTAGTTCACCGGTGCCCAAATACACTGACCGAACCCAAACGTGTGTTCATTGGTGTTTTATTTTGTGTTAGTGGTTAGTTTTATGAAATAATGTTAAGGGGAGAATTTGCCTGCAACTGGGGACCCCCTATTGTTCCTCTTTTATTTGTACTTTTTTAGAAGACCACCCATATGTTTTGTACACAGTTGTCAACCGGGGACCTTATTGTCCTGTATTGTTCAGGGTCCCCAAATGAATGCAGAAACAAACTCACAAACACACACCCACACACGCAGAACAGAACTGAACAAAACAAACAAAAATATGTGTTCTCGAAATCCAGGGGAAATTCCCCTGACATAATGACCAAGTAACTGTGAACGTTCATCCCTTTATCCAATTAGTACATGCTGTCGATTGCTTAACCTGAAAACGAGGAAGAAGCCCTTTGCTGAAATTCCACCAATAAATAACGCACTTAGCAAATGCATCGGAAGCCTCGGTGCATGATGTTTTGTTAAACACACCGAGTTAACGCAATTTATTGCGTGCAAAAGCCCAAAAATATATCATTCCAACTTACCCTTAAGAGCATGATGGGAGTGTTAAGTGGGGCTGTCGTTGTTGCAATTTTGGCCACGTGGTTCTTGTCCATCGAGGGACGTCAGTCTAAACTTACATAAAAAAACTGCGGTGAGTTAGGAAAATTATTTTGTTGTCAACCCTAACAGTCTTCAATCCTTCACCTGTTGGATTTGCACTAAAACGCATTCCAAATAAAACATTAATATGTTTTGTCTTATTGTATAGGATCATTGTGCTGAAGATTTTTTTGTTGCGTTTCTATTTCTCAAAAAAAAAAAAAAATCAAACAGCACAGACATCCGTTGGTATTGCTTATCCCAACAAACCACAGGTTAACACCATATTAGCATTATCCCTCCGTTGTTAGGAGAATATTTATCACAATGACGTCACAGCAGTACGGGAGTTTCACAATAGTGCGCCTCCAAGAGTTTGCAACGCACGGGCCAAACAAAATGCTCGAAATCCAAAGAGCGTTTGGATTTCGGTCGACGGATTTCGCGCATTGTGATTGGCCAACGCCTAGCAAACCTTTGGAGGGGCTTTATTGTGAATCTCCTGTACCCTCATCTAGAAAAAAATCTTCATAATTTAAACAGAATTCTGAATTCAATATTGTACCATTGTTTGGCAGGAAACTTTTTTACCCTGCCCGTGAATTCACTTTGTGCCACATGCTGCTTTGACCACTCAACCCTATAAAATAACACGATGCGCATTTCACTTTTGCAATTTGGTTTGAAAGGGCATTAGATGGTCTGAATAAAGCCCTATGTTGCACACCTGAACGTTAACTCTGCGTTTTAGGTGGGTTTGAACAAGGGAAGCCCTTGCTGACATACCGCAGCTCAGGGTAACCTCAATATCTTTTGGCAGACATTTTATGAAAGCTATATTAAAATCTCACCAGAAATACAAGATGGTTTGGATCATTTTACGACATTAGGAGAAATTATTGCCATGATTG